CTGGCAAACTAGGAATTAATTCACTCTATCTTACTTCAGTTCATAGAAAAAAATGGGTGGTCTGCTATATTTGAGGGTACAATACTATGAGAAGATTGCAAGCTGGAAATTTTTTTCTTTTGCACTTCTTTTTGTTAAGGATGTGGTATATTTTAAAATCATTTAAGTCACTCTTCTGTAATAAGGCCTAATTAACATCAATTAGAAGTCATATTTACAGTTCTCTAAATATTTACCATAACATCAACATTATGATAAATGCAGAAAAGACTAAAGTTGTCAAGGATTTCATTTTATTTGGATCCACAATCAACACCCACAAAGGCAGCAGTCAAGAAATCCAACTCCTTATTGCACTGGGCAAATCTGCTGCAAAAAATGTTAAAGAGCAAAGACAGCTGTGAAGAATAAGGTGTGCCTGGCCCAAGCCGATATTTTCAGTCACCTCATATGCATGTGAAAGCTGGACAAGAACAAAGACTGAAGAAGAGCTGATGCTTTTGTGTTGTAGTATTGGCGAAGAATACTGAATATATGGACTGCAAGGAGAACAAACAAATCTGTCTTGGAAGTACAGCCAGAATGCTCCTTAGACGTGAGAATAGCCAGACTTCGTCTCTCATACTTTTGTCACGTCAGGAAGGACCAGACCCTGGAAAATGATACCATGCTTGGTAAAGAAGCGGGCCAATGAAAAACAGGAAGACCCTCAACGAGATGGACAAAGCAGCTGCAACAATGCGCTCAAGCCTAGCAATGGCTGTGAGGCTGGCGCAGGACCAGGCAGGGTTTCGTTCTGTTGCACACAGGGTCGCTCTGAGGTGGAACTGACTCAAGGTCACCTAACAGCAACAGATATCCACCATAATGGTAGTAAGTGTTGTTCTGACATCCTACATTCCTGGAATTGACCATGGAAAAGTCAGTCCTGGGATTTGAGTAAACAGCCCAAGCAACCAACCAGGCCTTTTTCAGAATTAAGAACACAGTGTTAAAACCTATAGAATTTATCCCCAATTAAATGTTAGATTTCTCTTTTCTTCAGAGCACATGCTGGATAAGATGAATGACATTACAGTTCTTTCTCATTTAGAGGCTTAGTGACTAATCATCTTGTAGGGCTGAAGATAATAAACTAGTTCATAGCATATTTTCAAGTTAACTGTCATTACACTTTAATATGCAGGGAAATTGTTTCACTTGAAAAGATACACAGGGAGGAAGGGCTTGTAGTTTGAGCTAAGTGAGGGGGAGAAGGCAGTTTCATATATATATATATATGTTGTTGTTATGTGCCATCAAGTCGGCCCGACTCAGCGATCCCTCCTTGGGTTTCTGAGGCAGTATCACTATGAAGTAGACTGCCCAACCTTCCTTCCGAGGAGTGGCTGGTGGGTTTGGACCGCCAGCTGTCTGGTTAGCAGGCAAGTGTCTTAGCCACTTTGCTACCAGAGCTTATATATATATATATATAAAAACAATATTTGCTGTAGTTTCTAAGGGGTGTCATATATCACTTTAGTCACCCTTAGTGGCCTCTTAAGATTTCCATTGGTTTATCATAAGCAATGAATGTGGGAAAGAGCACACTAAAACATCCAAGAATTCTGAGTGACAGCATCAAATGTAAATAAAAGACCTTAAAAGACCTTAATCTGCATTATGATAATCATAATTTATCATAATGTTGATGTTATGGTAATCTGCATCTTAGCTATCTTGAAAACTCTGCCAACACAGTAATGCACATTTCCACATGTAGGGATACAAGAGTGACAGTAGCTCTTCCTGGCTGTGACTGAGTGGGTCCTACCGTTAATACCAGCGCCTGGGTGATGGGAACAAGTGATGGAAATAGTTAACGCACTCGGCTGCCACCAGGGCAGAGCTCCGCCTGGTAACCAAAGACGGTATTGAGTGTGTACCTGGCTCCAACACCTCCCAACCCCACCCTCAGCCCTGGTCTGAATACAGACCACAGGAGTGGTCTCTGCTGTTCCAGGCCAGGACTGTCCTGCGCTTCTAGTGGTCTAGGCCACAGAAGCCTATCTCTGTCCTCTCTGCACTGCTGATCAGTAGCCTCTAAACCACAGCACCAAGGCTGCATAGGCCCCAAACCCCCCATAAAATGCCCCCCTGGAGGCCTTGCAGCTCTGCCTTTGGGGCCAGCAGAAGGCACTTGGTGAGATGAGCTGTTCCCTCTGGGTCTCTGAAGCTCTAGAACTTAAAGGGAATGTGTAAATTTGATTGGGGTTCAAACTGTTTTATTGCATGGCCTGTGGAGTACAGGTATTTTACAATAAGGAGCAAAATCCAGAACAAAGCTGAAAATCGGGGAAACTCTCTTGCAGTAGCCCATGCCTTATGTACTTGTCCAAAAGGAGTTGGGCCTTATCTGATTTAAAGCCGTCCCTTTGCCCTTCAATACTTGCACCTCGTCTCTCTGTAGGGTGGAGGCTCTGCCTGCCTGGCAGGTTCCCAGCCCCTTGGCTCATCCAGACCCTCAGCAGCTTTCCCAGGCCTCACGACACCTCACCCAGTGGGTGACCTCAGGCCCTGCAGGAGCCTTGCTGCATGACGGGAATTCTACTTGTGACATTTCAAGTTTCAAGAGAAACAGGAGTTTGGAAAGCTTTACCAACAGCAGATCCAGAAACATGAGGAAGAGGAAGACGCTGGGAGCCCTCCATGCTGGATTTGGAGGACCAAGAGGAACCAGAGGGTCGCTGGGTGGCGCAAACAGCAAAGCGCTCAATTATGAGCCAAAAGGTTGGCAGTTCAAACACACCCAGAAGTATGCAAAGGACAGAGCTGGCGCTCAGCTTCAGGAAGCTCACAGCCTTGAAAACCCTAGGAGCACTTTTACTCTGCACATGGGGTCGCCATAAGTCGGAATCAACTCAGGAACAACTGACAACTGAGAGGAACCAAACATCTAACCAAGGTCACCACAATGTTCTTAGCAAGTTAACAAGAGGACAATAGCACCCACACAACTTCATTCACATGTGCTGACATGCTTAACTTCTTAAAATGTCAGCATTTCCACAGACTCAAAATCCCAGTGGGACACTGTATCCTACTGACCATCTCGCCTTCATCTATACTTGAAGATCTATCCCACTCTGATCAGAAGGACAACTGGGCCACGGCCTAGAGTGACGTTATCTAGAGAGAGACGAACGAGCAAAAGCCGGCTTACACAAACAAGGTTCCAGCAGGACTTTACCAGCAACCCCTTAATAACTGCCTAAGCTAAGAAATGCCAAATGCAAAACATCCTTTCCACTCACAGAGCAGTCTTATAGTCAGTGTTTTGTTGACCAAATTAGTAATTTGGTCATAAAGAAGGACACTACACAACTTCAATGTGTAGCCCTTCCTTTGTTCAGGCTGATCTTCCTCTTAATTCTAATTCTAAGTTATTATATGTTTTCACCAAAATCTAAACAAAAGACTACCTTTACAAAACATTCTGTTGTAACCAAGGTCAGTCGTGCTTTCACACAGCTTTGAGATCTCTGGAAGTAACCAGTATCAGGCTGACTAGGACTGGGTCCCTCCCCACAAGCACACAATTGTGACTGCTTCACACACTGGGCTTATTCATTATCATGCTACTTCAAAAGGGGGCTGGAAAAACCACTGACTAAAGCGGCAGCTGCCAGCACAGCAAACTCCTCAGTTTGCGGTCTCGCGCCTTCTCAACACAGAAACAGTGGGAGAGCAGGCCTCCTCCTCACAAGATTCAGAGAGTTTGCTCATTCAGAGAAGAAGGAAGCAAATGCCCAAAACTGACTTCCAGACTGTAAAGAACTAGGCAACCTCAACAGGCAAACTATATCTTCTAATGACTGTTACACTGTATTCATTACAGCACCACTGGTGTTTCTTAAAAATAAAAACAAAAAGCCTAACAGGTAAGACTGCAAAGACCAATTATGGAAAACAGACATTCACAAATATAGATACATATCCTGTCCACACCATCATTTAAGAACAACCCACCTTAAGCAAATTAAAATTACAGAATTACAAAGCAACTAAATGATCATTTACATTACAAAGGAGTTTATCAGGGCATCTCTGTACACAGCAACATCACCTGGCATGTGAAATCTTACTTACTTACAGACGGCTGATTTATATACCAAAACCAAATACAACCTCAGGATATATGCCTCAGTGTAAAAGAGTACAGAGGGAGCATCCAAGGCCAACAGAAGAAGAAAGAAGGTCACAGCTCCATTCCCGAGGGGTCTATCTGGGGTTACAGTCTGGACATCAGATGCGAGGTGAAAGCCACAGGAAGAATACAGGTGACACTAATTGGAGTGACTTTTTTTTTTCCTTTCAAATCACCTGTTCTTAACCTAGTTCCAAATCTGGATTTTATAGAGCTGCAGCTCAAACTTCTCACACACACAGGACCACCAGCATGAGGCTGCAACCTAAGAAGGCTATGACACGGATCTACTCACTTGACCACAGGCTGTTTTCTATTAAGGCAATGTTTCTGACCTTCACTGCAGGACAAAGCAAGGCAGGGGACAGGTATTTGCCTAGTCCTTAAAATCAAGAAGCATTTGGTCTACATTAGCCTAGCATCCTTAGCTATAAGACACTGGGGTTGGGCAAAAAGAGCCCCTGCCAGTTAGCTCGGGCTGGCCCCAGGGCCCCCTGGAAAAGGCCCCTTGAGTTCATCACCACCCACCCAGCTTCCACTGGCAGTGAGGCGATAAGGGCAGCTGGGCTCAGGCTGGCCTCACCAGCTGGCATTGTGTAAGTAGCTAAGCAGCAGCAAAGTGGCTCACACATGAATATGGTCTTCTGAAAACAAACCCAAACCCATCCAGTGAGGTTCATTTCATCTGTCTCTCATCTAAAAGGATGAGAAACAGAAAAAAGAGTGGGAGCCGGGCAAGGAGAAAGAGGGGATAGAGACAAAGGATGAATGACTTCTAACCATGCTCATGTCCAGGGAATTATATTGTGACAACTCAGAGCAGTCTGTGGCAGGAGACCGGAATGACAACTCTGCTCACTGTGAGGGATGGCAAGAGCGGTCTTGGGAAGACTTTGGTCTCCAGCATTTGGGGCCTGTTTTCCTGCTTGGCCTCCATGAGAATGCGCTTTTGGGTGTTCACAGGAGGTCGCGGCTCCTTGGGTTTGAATTTGGCTTTATAGTTTTGCATTCCCTGTTTCTGCAGGAGCTGCAAGGTGGCGAGATAGCGCACGTTGTTGGGCGTGGGCGGGCACAGCACACTTGGCTCAGGCAGCAGGGACCAGTGCACGCAGCACAGCAGCTCAGGGTTGACCAACCAGGGGGACCGGGCTGCCTGGGGAGGGAAGGGCGGATAGTCCTTGACCTTAGGGCACTTGGCCAGCTCACCAGGTCGCCGTGCACCTCTCCTGTCCACAGTTTTCAATCCACATGTACAAGCCAAACACTCATTCTTTTCCACACTCAGCCCCTTCTCGTCCTGATGCAAGAAAACATTCTTATTCTTCTTACCCAGAGCATCCAAACCGTTTGGAGGTGAAGCCTTCAGAGGGGGCAGAACTGAGAGAGCCTTGGAAGAAGTCAAGGAGTCCGAGATGGAGAAGCCTTTGTCTGTGCTTCCACCAGAACGCTCGTGGCCTCTGGGGTCCTTGCCCTTTACAGTCTCAGGGGCAGTCCAATTGTCTGTACACCAAATAAACTCCTTTATTTGTAGACTTTTTTTCTCACCATGAGCATAGTGGGGAAAGCAGGTTTTGCTGATCTCCCTGGAGGCTGTGTTGGGTCCATGGGGGGAAGCCTGACTCTGGGAGGGGCTACTCCGATCCTTTCCTGGCCCTGTCTCAGCCAGAGCCCGGGCCTCGACCTTCCCAAGCTCAGACTGTGGCCTGGCCTCAGGGCTCCCCTGGGAGATATTGACACAGAGTAAGCAGCTACTGGTACTTTCTCCCACCCTGGCCTTCTTCACTTTCTTCCTTGGCCAGATGCAGGCCATTGGAGAAGTACTGCCCCAGCCTTGGACCTGGAAGAAAAGCAGCATGTCACTCTCAAGCTGTTTCCCAAACTCAGTGACCCTACAGGACAGAGGAGAACAGCCATAGGGTGTGTCCTAGGCTGTTGAGCAGATTGCCAGGGCTTTCTCCCACATCCCAAACTCTAGTCATGCCAAGTTTGGCCACATTCTCATTTCAGCAGTCATACTTTAATTGGTATTTTTCTTAAAATTGAGTTCCTTTTCTTTCTTTTTTGTGCTTTGGTTTTGCTTTTTAAAAAAAAAAAAACTTGTTGCCCCATCAAGCCTATTCCAACTCATTGGGACCCTAAAGGGCAGAGTAGAACTGACCCACAGGGTTTCATAAGTGTCAATCTTTATAGACACAGACTGCCTCTCTTTCTCCTATGGAACAGCTAGTGGGTTCAAACTGCCCATCTTTTGGTTAGCTGCTGAATGCTTTAACCACTGTGCCACCAGGACTCCTCCTACCTCCTTTAGCACTAGCCACCAGAGCTCCCTTTAGCCTCATAGGAAATAGTATTTTAAACACCCAATTTGACATGCTGTTTTTCCAGATACATGTTCAGATCTATTAAAATTAAAACTGTGTACACTTGTGTCACCTAAAGGGACTTCTTCGCCCCCAGCCTGTTCACCATCCCTTGGCACAGCCCTGCTAATGAGAGGGGGCCAGAGGGGGCAGATGTGCAGAAGCAGTTCTTGGGCACACAGAAGCCCTACATGCCCTAGGCACCCCTGTAGACCCCAGCCTTCTGTCCACATCCAGAGTCCCACTAGTGACCTTACCACAGAGGTCATCGTTACTGGGCACATGATTATTGCTGCTGTCGTTGTCAGGCAAAGGGAAGTCAGTTCTGATTCACAGCAGCCCTATGTACAACAGAATGAAACACTGCCCAGTCCTGCACCATCCTTACAATCATCGCTAAGTCTGAGCCCATTGTTGCAGCCGCTGTGTCAATTCATCTCATTGGAAGTCTTCCTCTTTTCACTGATCCTCTCTCTATATATATGTGGGCATATTTATACTAAAAAAATTATGTGCTCTTTATCTGAAGTTCAAATTTAACCAGCCAACCTGTATTTTCATTTGTCAGTCTAGGAACCCTATCTTAAAAAACAAACTTAGGCACCGTGTTCCAGGCTGAAGATCTATAGCATCTGTTCATTCCATTAACCCTCAGTGTGGCACTGCAGCTCAGGGCACCTGACCGATTCTAACCAATACAGTGATGGCTGACACACTGAAAGTGGAGCAGGCCCAGATCCGTAAAATGTGGGGGGACTGGAACAATGACCGGAGAGGGGGAAATTATGGGTCCAATCCCTGGAAGGGTGGACTCGGAAGAGGCACAGTCAGCCCCTTCAGGAGCCTGATGTGGGACAGCAGATTACTGCCAGGACGGGGGACAACAACACATATCCAAAGCGGTGTGATCAGCGCCATCTGTGACCAGGGCACCGTTGTTTTGACTCTGCTGATTACGAGATTTGGTTCCTATGCAACCCGCACAATGCCCTTGTTTACTAAGAGAGAAAGTTTCTAGCAGGGTGTTGACTGTGTTCTGGGTTCTGGTTATTGGTCCAGCACACCCACATTTTATAAATTTGATCTGTTGTGTTTTCACGTCCTCAGCCATGACTGAATCAGGAAAAACTGGTTCGAAGCCCTGCTGTTGTTTTTGCTGTCGTCAATTTAGACTTCCTGATTCCAAATTTATAAAGAGGAAACTGAGGCTCGAAAAGAGATGAACAGGTGGAGCCAGGGACATTTTTAGGGCAGTGAAACTATTCTGCATGATACTGTACAGTGGATGCATGACATTTAAGCATCTGTCAAAACCTTAAGACCACAAGGATTGAACCTATGTGAAGTATGTAAACTATGGACTTGAACAAAGAATCTGTCAATACTGGTTCATTAATTTAACAAATGTAGTTGGCGGAGGGGTCATCCCGCACAACATTCCTTTACCACCATTCCCACTTTACCTCCCACCCCCTCCCCATATTCCTCCAGCTCAAAATGCATAAGTGTTCAGAAGAAACACTGACAAAAGTCTCTAAGCACTCGGCAGGGAGTCAGGCATTCCTCTCTTCCTCACTACCCATTGTGGGGCAGGCCCAAGCACAGCCCCACCTGAGAGGGGAAGAAACTGAAGCTCAGGGAAATCAACCCTGCCCCCCAGGTTAGCTACTGAGAAGCGGCAGAATGGGATTGGAATCTGTTCTTTCTTATTCCACAGTGTTTGCTCTTCCCAAAAAGCCTTGCCATTTGCCTTGATCTACTACAACACACACAGAAATTTCTTTCACTAGATACCAGGAAGGAGCCCTGGTGATGGAGTGATTAAGTGCTCAGCTACTAAACAAAAGGTCATCAGTTCAAACCCAACAGCCGCTCTGTGGGAAAAAGATGACACATCCTGTTTCCATAAAGATTTGCAGGCTTGGAAACCCTGAGACAGTTCTTTTCTGTCCTATAGTGTTGCTATGAGTTGGAGTCAACTTGACATCAGTGGGTTTAGATGCCAAGTGCAACCCCTCATTTGTGACAACCAAAACCAGCTTCAGACATTGCCATATGTCCCATGAGAACCATTGGAATAGAGCAAGATTCCTTACAGTTCTAGAATGTAGATTCTACTACTGATTCTAAGAAAAGTTTAAGAACAACCGCAGGGTTCTGAGTAGAACCACTAGGACAGAAGCCCCAGGCCTCTCAGGGAGTTTAGTGCAGAGGTGAAGGAGCTCACGTTCTGGGGTCCAGAGGACCTGCTTCAGCCACTTACTGGATGCAATATCTGGCCTGTCATTTCACCTTTTGGGTGCCTCAACCTCATCCAAAAAGCAAGGCTCTTCATAATACTGCCTCCCAGCGCTGCTGAGAGATGGAATGAGTTCATGTACGTGAAGCGCTCAGCACCGTGCTGGCTGCATACCAAGTGCCCCACAGGAGCTCTCGCTACCATCCTCACCATTATCATCTCCGCTCCCAGGGTTTCAGTTTCCACGTTTTTCAGTGACAGTGACTCTATGTTTGAAAAGAGGTTTGCATCCAAACACTGGTGTTCAAGAGCTCTCATACAAGAAGGTACTCACTGCTTCCCCCCATCCGGTACCGATGACAAACTTGGAAGCTTTCTCATCTTGTTCGAGTGTAATGTCACTGATGTTCAGAAGACAGCAAACATGATTCCTTTCACTTCTTTCATCTGGACAAGGAGAGGTCAGTTCAGTTTCTTCTGTGCTTTGATTTTCATTATTTTCTAAATCAGTCTCACTTTTCTGACAGAGATCCATTGCTGTGATTGTTCCTTAAAGTTTTTAACATCTTCTGCCTACAGTGAAATGTAGATTGAACTTAGTTTTTAACATTAATTTTTTAAAAAACCAATTTAATAACTCAGCTGAAATATCTTTAAGACACATTCAGGGACTGACTGAGAATACAGAAGCCATCAGCCATCCATGCCAACTACTGACATTATTAAAGGTAAGGCTAATTTTGATGGAAGACCAATGGACTGAATTACAGATCAAAGCTGGGACCAAAGAAGAGGCCAGGTGGACTGCAGCACACCATCCCTAGTGATGGGGCACAAAGTGGGGAAAGTAATAGAGGTTGAAGCACCTCCACCCTCTCCAGAACTGTCCCAGTAATACTATGGTCATACCCCCTTTGCACTCCTCCCCTTACCCTGGTATCCACTTTGGGAATCCTTCAACTTCTGGGGAAGGTGGTAGACCATGCAGTCTAGGCTAAGTCAGTAAGTAGGCTCCCCATCCTATACCTCCACTTCTATGGGCCCACTCTACCCCAATAAGTACTGGCTCACAAAAGAAAAAAAAAAAAGAAAGAAAGAAAGAAAAACAAGCATTGGTGAGGATTTAGAAAAATCAGAGTCCTCATAAATTTTGGTGGGAATTTAAAATGGTATGGCCACTTTGGAAAATAATTTGGCAGTTCCTCAAAATGTCAAAGATCAAATTACCATATAACCCAGCAACTCTACCCATAGGTATCTGCCCCAAAGAACTGAAAAGATAAGCCCACACAACAACTTGTACACGAATATTCATAGCAGCACTATTCACAACAGCCAAAATGTGTTGGACCCAAAAGTCCATCAACCGATGAATGGATGAATAAAATGTGGCCTATCTATAAAATGGAATATTATTCAGCAATAAAAAGGAATGATGTACTGAAACATGCTACAACATGGATGAACCTTGCAAAGTAGGCTAAGTGAAAAAAGCCAGTTTCAAAAGGCTACATGTTGTATAACGCTGTTTATAGGGAATGTCTGTAACAAGGAGATCCACAGAGAAAGTAGATTACTGGTTGCTAGGGGATGGAGGAGAGAGAAACTGGGAGGTACAAGATTTCTTTTGGGGGTTATGGAAACTTCTGGAATTATTGGTGATGACTATACAACCTTCCAACAAACGTTGTTGTTGTTATGTGCCATGGAGTCGGACCCGACTAATAGCAACCCCTCCTTGGGTTTCCAAGGCAGTACCACTACAGAAGTAGATTGCCCAACCTTCCTTCTGAGAAGCGGCTGGTGGGTTTGAACCACCAGCCTTCTGGTTAGCAGTCAAGTACCTTAAGTACTACGCTACCAGAACTCCCCTTCCAACAAATAGTTAACTATGGTTGTTTTTCAGGGCTGAAAAATGGGACCTGGCTTTGATAATCCAGTCAGAGGATCAGGCCACTTGTCATCCTGATCAGGAGAGCATCATTTTCAGGGGCACAGACTCTGGTCCCAAAGAGCAAGGGTTCCAATCCTTTCTCTTCTATTTACTAGCTGTGTGACCTTGTTACTTACAGTCTGGTCTATTTGCTCATCTATAAAAAAGGCATGATTACAGTACCTTCCCACAGACAGATGCTCCTGTGAGGGACCACTCAGCTGGAGAGATTAACCCTCAGGCCCTAGCAGTGACCCCCAACTGAGGGCCTAGCTTTAGTGCTAACAGGCAGCCACTGCCTTCTTGAGGAACTCCTTGTCTATGGTGAGACAGAGACCACTGGCTACTGGGGACACGGATCTTGCTTTCTCTCACCAAAACACAGCCCCCGCCAGAAACCCACTTTTTTCATTTTCTGCTGAGGTCAAGTACAGATGTGTACTTCTGATAACAATAACAATTTAATTACCATCTCAGCTTTTTTTACATAGCATTTTGAGGGTAATGAAGAAAGTCCCATTTACCTTTGGAAGGTTCAAATATCTTCAGACACCAAAGGAAATGAATAAAATCTGAAAGGAAAAAATGGTATTACAAGTGACCAAAAATCTGACAGATTGTGCAAACCAGCCTGCTTCTTCCATGTTTTGAAATTTCACTTCAGACGTTAGCAGGCAGTGGTGGTACAGTGGTAGCATTCCTAACTTCCGCACAGGAGGCCCACACTCCATTTCCAGCCAATGCGCCCTATGCACAGCAGCCACCCATGCACTGGGGGCCTGCATGTGGCTATGGCGCTGAACATTTCAGCAGAGCTTCCAGACTAAGACAGACCTGGAAGAAAGGGCTAGCAACCTACTTCCAAAAATTAGCCAATGAAAAACTCCCGGATCACAATGGTCCGATCCTTACCTTGTCGGGAGATAGCCCCAGGCTGGGCAGCATGTGGTTCTATTACGCAAGGAGTTGCCATGAAGTGGGGCCAACGCCATGGCAGCTTAACAACACAATTTCAGATTTTGCCCAGGCCAAAGAAGCACACTCAGACCTTGTTCTCTACTAAATTACAAATGCACTTGTCCCACTGAACTACATGGCCTCAGTAAGTCTGCAGCTCAGAAGCCAAGCTATTTATTAAAATGAATTTCCACTTGAAGTTTATGTAGTAAAGAAACAGGTACTGTTGAAGAGACATTAATTACAGTTGTTGTTATGTGCCATCGAGTTGGACCCGATTCATAGCGACCCCTCCTTGGGATTCCAAGACAGTATCACTACTGAAGTAGATTGCCCAACCTTCCTTCCGAGGAGTGCCTGGTGGGTTAGGATGTTTAAATTATTAAGAAAAATACACTGTGCTTGAATTAACCTTCATCTGAATGATCTCCTCTGACAGAGAGCTTACTACTTGGAGAGCCAGTTCCAATGGCGAAGCCCTTGGCTTTACTGGTTCTCAAACTGGGCTGCACCTTGGAATCACCTGGAGAACTTTGTAAAAATATAGCATTGCTCCGACCCTGACCCACAAAGATTCTGATTATAATTGGTTTAGAGCAGAGTCTAGGCCTCGAGTTTTTTTTTTTTTTTCCTTTTTATCTCTTTACCATTTCAACAGTTTCCACATACACAATTCAGTGATGGGGATTATATTCTTTGAGCAGTGCACCCATTTTCTCCCACCTTTTCTGAGTTGTTCTTCCCCCATTAACTTACTGTCCCCTAAGGTTCTTATCAAATTTTCAAATTGCTGTTGCATTTTTATCCCATGTAGACAGATCTTGGAAGAGCACAGAGTTCAAGGCAAACATTCTTTACCAATTAAGCTAAACTATTACTGGTTTTTAAGACTTCAAGGGATGTGTTTGGTTTAAGGTTTAAAGATTTTCTCAGGGTAGTATTTTCAGTCTTACATCCAGCTTCCATGGCTCCAGAAAGTCTGGACCAATAATTTTGTTCTGCAGTTTCCCCCTTTGGATTCAGAATTCTTCTACGTAATCCTTGATCAAAATGCTTAGTAAAGGTGGCCAGGCACCATCCAGTTATTCAAGTATTATAGCAAAGGAGTGCTTGAGGCTTTTTTAAAGCACCCTAGGTCATTCTAATAATCAGCAACATTTGAGAACTACTGTAATTGTTAGAATTTTCTTATTTCCCAACATTGTTTTCTAAGCATTCTGCATGCCCTACCAGGTCCTTGTTCTGCTCTCCAAACCAATGCTTGGTAATGGGAAGTACTCAATGGGCTTCAGGAAGTCTAGGATACTGAAGCAGTACACAGTAAAGACATAAGACGCTGCTTCTGGCACAGTATATTACAAAGTACCAAGAGAAACCCAGGTAACAACAATAATTCAGTAATAAAACATACTGTTACCTACCTCTTACTGTGTGCCAGGCATTTGTAATCTTCACAAATTTGTACATACACAGTTAGTCAGTGCGTTGCTCATGTAATGGGAAATCATGGGGAACTATATTAACTACTTATGATCAAAAACTAAGAATTATCTCTGAGTCAGAAAGTGCTTATTAGTCAATGGTCAGATTATTGCATACCAGATCTCCAGGTGCTCTTTTGGACCCCTGGTGTTCTTCAAGGTGGACTGCTAAAATAGAATGCTGGTGTTCTTTTCCTAATAAGGAAAATATTCAGTTAATGGATAAAGTAGGCTTAATTTTAAGTTTTCCTCCTATAAACAAACCTTGGGGTTTTACTGCCCACGCTTGTCTTCCAGTGTTCATCAGCAGATGTTAAACAGAAATGCATGCAACATAAAAATCAACTAAAACAGCAGAAATGCAATTTCTTACAAACAGTATGAAGTTTTACATTTATGTTGGAATGTGGAAATCTGCACACATACAGTACTCACATTTTCTGTTTAAATTACACCTAACTGACAGATTTGAATTAACTAGCTAAAGCTGTTCTACTTCTCTTGACTTCCAGGGAGCTCTGCAACCTAACTCAGTTTGAGAGCCACTCCCAGTATATAAAGTATGCATTAAAGTCCACACTACTATTTTGCAAGAAAATCACATCAAGAAAACACAAAGATCACAGTGAAAATGCTGCCATGGGAAATGCACTTGCAGATGCTCCTAGAAAACTGGATTCAGAGTAAAAGAAGGAATATACGATGATGTAGGCCAGAAGGTATTAAACAAACTCTATTACACAAGCTACTGAAGGGACTAAAACCAAAATGTACAAAGAAGAAATTGTTGACTAAGCTCCAAGCCCTCAGAGCAAATGCTTAAATAAATAAGCATAAGCCCCAAAAAACCTGATCAAAGAACTTAAGATATTTGGAAGTGAAATAAAGAAGGTGATAGAAGAGTCTAAGAAACATAATCAAAGGAAAATCACTATGACCCAGAAAATGTCTTTGCTAATAGTAGCGTAGTACCTAAGGCATCTGACTGCTAACCAGAAGGCTGGTGGTTCAAACCCACCAGCGACTCTTCAGAAGGAAGGTTGTGCAATCTACTTCCATAGTGATACAGCCTCGGAAACCCAAGGAGGGGTCACTCTGAGTCTGATCCAACTCTAAGGCAGTGGTTGTGTTGCATTTGCATTCCAGCTAATAATTTAGGTTCTG